TGGAGCAATCGTGTGGGGGCGGCGGCAAAAGAGGCGGATTTGTAATTACAAGTGGCAGTTCAAATAACAATTTTTTAATGCTTCTCATAATGTGAGGTTGTTTTATTACACACACATCTAGTACTACTACTATATATGTATGTATTTATGCAACATCTGTATATTCGGGGAGGGAAGAAGAGAAAAAGTCGCGACAGTTTTGGAACTAAATCAGAATTTATGCTTTGTTTAAATGCTGTAAAAATGTCGCTGATTTTTATCGCATGGCAATGATTATAACAATCACAATAGCAACAACAAATGCCCACACACGCACACACACACACACACATACAGACAGACAGCCGTAATAATAATAACTGTCTATATGTCGCGCACAGAGCATTTATGATATAAGTATAGATATATACACACACACATGCATATGTGGAGAGACGGCGAGCGCGTATTTAAACCAATTTTATGGCGCATTTAATTGTTGCTGTTTATAAACTAGACGAGCAGCCACAATCACAACAACAACAACAACAGCAACTGCCGCACAATACTAGAAAAAAAGCCCAGAAATGGTAACAAAAGGTTAACGTAAATTGTTAAAACTAAATTATACATATAAACAAAACATTTTTATGCGATTAAAATCAAAATTACACGCAACGTGCGTCAGTCTCTCAGCCTCTATGGCGGCAGCAGCAGGTGAGGGGAGGTGTGTGGCAAGGCCTAGAGGCAGAGGGGGCAGAAGCTACACACATGCTATGCTGCACATTGTCTGGCTTTGTCTGCTTGACAGCGTGCCGAGCTCTCTGAAGCGTATGGCAGAGGCTTGCCTCAACTCGCACCAACTCGCCTCTCCTCGGACGTGGCCGGAAAAGCCGTTCTGTGCACGTGCTGGAAAAATATGCATTAGCAGGCTGTCCATTGGTCTCCAGCTGGGAGGGTGGGCGCTGCAAATGAAGTGCTTGGAAAGCAGACAGGCATGTTGAAGAAGTGCGTTTCTAAACAACATCACAGATTAAAGCCACTTGCAAATCACGAATACGTCGTGAGGTATACGCCCAATATTTGAATATAATGCAGGCTGCTAGAATGTACAATAGACTGTAGTTTTCAACACCAAACACAACAACCAAGTTTCTTCTTGCAACCTCAACAAGGCCACTTTTCTAATCACTTTAAATTAAGATTGAACAAATATAAATACAATTTGTGCATATTTGATTTCCTGAGACTCATGCAAATGCGAAAAATCACCTGAGAAGCCTTTATTAATTTAATTTTTTTTAATTTTGTTCTTTATAACGAATTAGAGCACTTTTCGGATTCGTGTTGAAACTGCAATTCCTTTTCCCTTTCATTTAATGCATGTGTTTTACTTTCAATTGGAGGTTCTTTCTATTCGAAGCAATTTACTTAACGGAGTCATTTCAAAAGTATTCAAAGCACGTAAATAAAATTCTTGTAGCTTCGCATGAGACATAAATTCAAATGAAAAAGTTTTCTCTTACGCTTTTTGCAAGAGCTTTCTTTTAATCAATACGCACCATCAATTTAAATATTCAATTGTATTAGGAGCAATTAAAAATCACATAATAAAAAAATGGAATAATATTCGCTGAAGACTCCAGCTTTTTTGGTCATTTAAACGTATTCCAAGCTAATGTAGTAGACCTAATGGTCTTCAATTTACAGATTAAATATTCTCTCTGATGCAAACAGAAAAGAAACATTGCACCCACCGTTGCAACAACAGCTTTTTTATTGAATGGGAGATTTAATTTCTGGCTAAAGCCTCTTTTAAAGTGGTGATATTTCGAAGTTGGACATATACATTTCAAGAAGCAAAAGAGTTTAGCAAAACGTTTGCCCTTCCTCGGAACTAGATGACAAATTTTGAGATTATAGCTTTCTTACTTGCCGATATGCAAGAGTAAAATTTTAACCAAAAGCGCATTGCATGTGAGACGTGGTGCTTAGGACTTGCGAGAATCTGTTTACCAAGTTTGCTGATCTATCGGATCTAATAATTTCTGAGATCCTTGCGTTCATACAGACAGATAGACCTGTCAAGACCGACACGTCTTGTAATGCTAATCTACAATATACATATATGTATATACTTTATTCATGCCTTCTAGGTGTTACTAAAACTGAAAGCTATCTTAATATACCTTTACCGTTCGGATACAGGGTATACAAGTATTACAAAAAACCCTTATTGTGCAATGCTCATAAGAAATTGTTTTAAGTTATCAAAGTGCATATCTTGTTATACATTTTATTATATCCTTAATTAACAATCAAGATAGAACCATTAAAAAATGTTTTAGATCGATACTCTAGCCATAGAATATTTATTTATATAATTGAATATTCTTATTAGAAAATAAATATATAAATTGCATTTAAAAAATAACAAACAACCAATTTTCATCAAAAATTGTTCAGTTCATATATATGTGTATGTATATGTATAGTTTTCTAAATAATTATTAATGTTTTTGTTTTAATATTGTTTACGATCCGAGTTGTCTATATAATTATTTATTTTGTTTACGATCGGGATCTAATTTCAAGCGTCATGATAAATTTCTTTTTACTCATGAACTCGCCATATGTTTAAATTTCAGTTGTTGTCTCTTACTAAGTACTATAATTTGTTGTTGTTGTTAAGCATATTAACATGTTGCGCCTGCTAACAAAAAATGTGTGATATTGTTGTTGTTGTGCGCGCGTTCGCTGTCTGCACCGTTTGTCGATCAGATTTTGTTACAAGTTTTGTCAACATTTGTTTAAGCGCTGGCCTAAGTTATGCGTCCATTTACATGCATGAGTAGTATCTTTATCTAAAAATATGTATCTGTATCTATCTAGAGTCTATCTGCTGGCATTGTACAAGCTTTTAACTGCTGTTTAGGTAGCTATTTGTGTTTTTCTTTTTGATTTGACCACGATTTCAAGGAACTGACTGCCAAACGGTTTTTTATTTTAACAATAAAACAAATGCTGGCCGAACAGATTTGAATCTCATTTATGAAACTTATGAAAAACTGGTACAAATAAATATTTTCAGCTTTAAAATATGTATGCAAAGTCAAATGAACGTCTCCCCAGTTTCTGCGACCCTTTGACTCTTAAAAGCTGCGCCGTTCCATGGGAAACTTGGACAGCTGTGGCAACTCACACACACACCCGTACTCAGGCTATACGCAGCATCTTTCGCACTTGCCGTCTGCGCTACTTTTGCGCTCATTTCAGGTGTAAGCACACACACTCATAAATATACATACATATATATTATATACACACAACAAAACAACAACGTTTAACTTAACCCTTTTCGCTGTGCCTGACATTTTTTGTGCCCAGAAAAAGTTTCAAAAGCAGCAAAAAGTAAAATGGAATAAAAGTCTTAAACGAAAATCAATGCAAGCGCCAAAAAGTTGGCTCAACTCCTTTGTAAGTATGTATGTATTCTTGTTTGTGTGAGCTCACGTAGCGATTATGTGTGTGTGTGTGTGTGTGTGCGCCTGTTTATGCGCAGCAGATGTACAAATTGCGCCAAAGCAGCCAAGCACAAAAAATATGAGGACGATATTAATAATTTCTATCTAGATAGTTTTGCCTGCTTGCTGGCAAAGATGCTGCGGCAAAACTGTCGCGGCTGTTTCCTGAGAAGAAGCAGCTTGTCGTGCCTCCGAATATTTGGGGGCAGTAAGCGCGCTCTACGCTTCAGATTATTATTAGTATTATTAATATTATTGCTGCTATATGTATTTTGCATGCGTATAAGCATTCATTTCGTTTATTGGTTGAGTAAAAATAAAAGCAACACAAAGTCAGTTAAAGACAACAAAGAGTACAAGCAAGTACGCAGTGCTAAGCAAGCAGTAGCAGCAACAACAACAACAGCAGCAGGAAAAACACTACAGACAAACTCACATACTTTCGCGCACACACACACACACATACATACATACATATGCTCACAGATACAGACATAACTCAAAATCGGCAGACAAATCTGCACACATGTTAAAGCCCATAAATAAACCACATAATCACAAACGGAACGATCGATGATTGTTGTCACTGTTTGACAGCAGTAGGCAAAGGCAACGGCAACAACGACCGACCAGCAACAGCAGCAGCAGCCGCTGTGGCTGCCAGACACCAGAAAACAATAACAACAACAACAACAACTGCGGCAACAGCAGCAGCAGCAGCAAAAGCAAGCAATGTGAACGACGACGCCGAATCGGAGTCGAAGCACCGTGTAAAGTGCAGAGAGGCGTGCCATAGAGAGATTATTGAACGATGCACTCGAGCATGACGCGTCGAAAAACAGCAACTACAACTACAACTAACATGCAACTGCAAATGCAAGGCAATAACAGCAACAATAATAACATCAACTTATGCAACAACAACAGCAATAACAACAGTTGAAAAACCGGTTTACCTGTATTCAACAAACAAAAAACACGCCCCACACAGCAAGTGCGACAGAGACAACTGTATGCCTGCAATATATATTCACTCTTACTCACACACACAAGCGCTAGGCTAAGCGCACGACCATCTTGTATGTGACAAGGCCCAACCCTCGTCAGACGAGTTCGCGCGCACACACACACACGCACACACTCAGCAAAAAAGTATAATTGCATTCGTGTTTGTTTCGCTGTGTGCGTGCGCGCGTCTGTGCTTGTCTTTCCTGTTTTGCGCTCGTGCCTGTTCAGTTGGTCTGCGACCGTTGACGTGTTTACAAGCGTGTTCGTTCGTTCGTTCGTCTCGACAGTTTCGTGCGTTGCGTGTGATAATCGAATCGAGTATCGGAACATAACGACCGACCCACAAGATATCGTCGCGCGTTGCGTTGCCGTCGTATTGCACTTGTTCTCAGCACAAACCAAAACAACAACAACAATCATAAAGCGACAACCACATACTTCAATAACAGTAGCAACGCGCATTTTTGCGACGGTAGTGCAAACATAAATTGAAAAATACAAAAAAAAATAAAAATAATGAATTCATGCAAAATTTAAGCAAAATAGTGTGACAGCATAAACAAATAAATTGAGCAAAGGCGCTTTAACAAATGTGCGAAATGTAAGCAGAGGCAAAGAAAAAAGCAAAGCTTAAGCAAACAAATGCTCTATAAATAAGATTCTTTTTTGGCGCAGTCGTTATCATTAGCAACTAATAATGTCAAATTGATAAGCGTTTTTTACTTTTTTTGGCATGCACTTGATTAAAAAAAACGTGATAAGCAGGCACATATGTTCGAGTATTGCAGCCAACATTTTGGGGATTTTATTTATCAATTTATTGCAATCAATTTACGGCTGTCAATTTATAAAGAAACATACAACTAAATCAGAGACATTCTAATGAAAAGTGTGCGTTTTCCCAAGCCACCACAACAACAATAACAAACAGTGCGGCTATTACCAATCGATAAATTGATTGAGTTTATGTCAGTTAGAGTATGTGACAAATTTACAGCCAAACCTTTAAAAAGCAAACTCTGAAATCAAAGACATTGTCATCATCGCCCAAAAATTATGTTGCCTTATCAGTCGTGGTCGTCTCCGTAGTCATCGTCTTGATATTTGTAGCGCAATTGTCAATTGTGTGCGATAAGCATCGAGCCAACAACAACAACATCAACATCAACGTACATGTCTTGGCACAACAACATGGGCTGCCTTTTTTCTATTATTAAATTCCAGAGCACTCTTCTAAACCAAACTACGCAGTGCTCCCCACCCTACGCACCCTACCGCATAGGAAAAAATCAACAGAAACTGAAAAATATTCGTAGTAGTAGTCTGATAACAAACTTAAACGTGGACTTTAACAAATCATCTATGTGTAACGCTGATAAAACTGTCAAAGCTGGCACAGCTACCTGTGGCAACCTGCCTTCATCAATTCTCGAAATGAGGCCCTCATCGAATGAGGCAGTCAATGAGGCATGCAATTTTAGCACCCGACCTAGTTGCATTGCATTGACATTTTAATTGTGCTAATTGCGGTTACCCGCGATCGTTGAAGCGGTACGAGAGAAAAGGGATAAACAGTTGCATTAGCGACGCGCATACATACACAGCTATTTAGCTGCTAATTGGTGGCATGTCCAGATGCCTCTTCTTAGCACCTTGAGTTGCCGTTGGCATACAGTATATATGTACAAGTATATGCAGAGGCGCATACGCACTCGAGACAATAAAAGGAGTACACATCCAGAATTAGACAAAAGAAAGAAAGGCGTGCGAAACTGTCAGATCTGACATTGTTTTGGTTTATTAGTTGATGGCTGGAATGTAAACAGGAATGTGCAACAAACAAACATTATTTGGCACAATGCAGGCGACAGACAGACAGACAAGTTTATTAGATCCCCTGGGAGGTGGCTGCAAAAGGCCTCTCATCTCTCCTGTTTCGTCCTTTTTTGCAGTCATCAATCAAAGACCAAAATACGTTTGGCAGTTCCCACACTTGAGTGCAAGGACTTGAGCCATACAATTCCCACAAAAAGGAGAGCCACACACAAGCACGCTCTACAGTGCACGCTCCTTATAGTAGGATGTATAAATAATGCAATTATCAGGCCTGCTGTTTAAAACGAGTTTCCACAAATTACTTCAAGTTTATGGCAATATTTGATGACATGTTTGACTCACACTATCTATGTGCAAGATTTTATGTTCGAATCTGATATCGAATTACACATATTTTGGAGGCATAGCATTATATTATTGATTGGGCACCCATCTGGGTGAATTATCTGACATCCAAAGTCAATTCTTACGACCACATAATTCTTTAAACCTTTTCTGTGAAACTGTTCCCCATATCGACTCCCATCTGTAATGTTTATATATAAGTGTGTTAGTGTGATCGTAAATCAACTGACCATCGATAGTTGACAAAATTTCGTTTAGTTTGTGCCTTATTTACAATTCGGAGCCGAACAAGTCATAGGCATACATAGCTCACAGGGTTATAAAAAGAAATGAAAACAAATATTGAGGCATTTTTGGGGGAACTGATAAGAAGACGACCACGCCGAAGGCGACAACGACAGTTTCTGTTTGGAGATATGAAAAGTGTTTGCAGATAACGACTGGCGCAAGGTGCTACTGAAAAAAAGAATCTTATCTTATGAATGCGTGCCACAGAGAGACAATTGAAGTGTAGAAAACCAAACCAATTATTTTAACTTGCAGCGTGCGCAGATTGTGAGGAGAACGACGAGAGAGGAAAGCGGGAAAGAAAAATGTGCTACAAGCTGCGCTAAAATCTGTGACAAGCTAAATTTGCAGGCTAGAGCAACAACAGCAACAATAGCAAGAACAGCAAATAACAAGAACAACAATAAGAGGAACAGGACGCTGCCAAATTTGTCGGGCAGCCAATTAAATTTTGCGCCCCGCCGTTTGTTCTAAAAAACATTCAAAATTATACTCGAAATGGATATGACCTCGACAGCGGAGGCTGCCGCACGCAGCTGGTACGACAGTCCGCGCTTAGGGGGCTCACCACAGACCAATGGATTGGGCAGTACCGGCAGCAGTCTGGCCCACAGCCACCACAGCCTATCCAGCGGTGCCTCGTCGGCGGGCAGCAGTGTCGGCGGCTTAGGCGGCGGTGCGGGCGGCACTGGCGCCGGCCTGGGACTCGACACCAGCGATATGAGCGCCTTCTATGCGCTGGAAAGCAATGGCCATCATCGTAGATACTATCCGAGCTATCATCAGCACAGTAAGTAACGCAGAAATCCACTAAAATACATAAACCAGACCTAGATTTATGCTTTTACCAACCAATAGCGATGGCGATGGCAATAGCGATGGCGATAGCGATGGCGAAGGCGACCACCATTTGTTCTAATGTCATTTCTAATGCGTTTTTAATGAATATTGTTGTCACGAATAGTGGGGGGCTGTGGGTTTGGTTGTTGGTTGTCGCAACCCACAAATCGATTTATTCGCGCCTTTTTTATGTTACCGACTGCGAGTTTCCTGTTGGCCGGTCGCAGGGTTGAAAGGACCCGCAATATAACTGACCGTCTGCTGGTTGTTGTCAACTATAGAAGACCAACTCATGTTGTTTAATTTCTCGGCTGAGAATTATATAACATTTTAGTGAAGAGTCGGCTTTAACATTCCATATCCAGACAGATTTCTCACAAATAGAACAATTTATTTTAACTTGTTAGTTTCTGCTTTAGAAGGATATTCTGCAAAACATATTCTTGGAAACTAAGTATTATTTAAAAATGATGAACAATTTTGACGAAATGTGCAAATTATTTTAACTTAGTTTATGTTTTAGAAGCATATTTTTTTTTATTAGTAGAGTGTTTTCATTTAAAACTGTCCACCGTGGATATAATTTATTTCATTTATGATGAGGTTTTAGTATCTGGCTAGTCCCAGGGGATATGAGAAAAAACATACTTATTCTTGAAAAATAAATTTAAAAATAAATTTGGTTTTTTAGAAGAACATGAGAAAATGTCGTATATGAGTAAAGGATTTTAACTAGAAATGCTGATATTTTGTAAAACATATTCTTGAAAACATTATTATTATTAGAAGAAATCAAAGATAAATATTTAAAGATAAGTTCATTTTCCTTAATGGCCCATCAAGTGGCGAATAAACAAAGAAGATTGGTACCAGCTTTTATTTATGAAGCCTAGTATACTATATAAATATGATTACCGACAAAGATGAAACATTGATTTTTAAATAAGTAGAGGTCACAAAGCCGTTAAAGATAAAGTTCTTTCAACACAACATTAACTGTTCCTCTTTCCTTTTAATTCACATATTCATCCCAAACTGTTGGTACAAACATTTTATTAGTTTCTCCTAGATATGTGAGCTTGAAGTTGTATTCAAATATCAAGCGAATAGAGAAGTTCTTTCAACACAACAGAGAGGAATAGTTATTCCTCTCAATTAATTTGAATTTCACTTGATTCACATATTCATCCCAAACTCTAGGGCCAAAACTTTGTTGATTTATGTTAGATAGCTATAGTACAAGTAGTATTCAAATATTAAGCGAATAGATTAGTCCTTCAACACAACACTAACTATTCCTATTCCTCGCAATATATTTGTATTAATTTTTGTTTGCATATTCATCCCAAACTCTAGGGACAAACATTTTATTAGTTTCTCCTAGATATGTGAGCTAGAAGTTGTATTCAAATATCAAGCGAATAGAGAGTATAAATAGAAGAATGTGATTACTTTTCTTCAAAATTTCTATTCTTTAAAGCGTTACACTTGACAGCTCGCTTGCGCTAGGCCCAGAACTGCTGGCCTGTGTAATTTTGACCATGTTCTCTAATTGCGCACAATTTGTTGGCAAACTAAACAGCAAATTATCTGGGCTCATTAGTGGCTGCCATTCCAGCCTGTGTGTTGCTCCAAAAATTAAAGCAAGCGCAGAGTAAAAATTTGAAACAGTTTACACACCACCGAGAGGGAAACTATGCTAGACCTTTGTCTGTGGCAGCGACACCATTTGGGGTTCACACGCCCACAAGAAATGGAGACGAGCACTCCGTTTGCCTCTACTCGTAAATGATGCTGAAAATGTGGGTAATCCACTACTGTTGTGGATTGATGGTTGACGGTTGAAAGTTGAAGGTTGAAGGGGGCCGTGGGTGGGGCGTGGCAGCTCAAATTAAAGTTCCGCTAAGTTAATTTTCAATTTGGAAAAGTAGGTGCCACCGTTGCGGCGTCTGTCATTTTTGACAGTTCAAGTTGACTCGCCAACGATACGAGTCTTTTCACTTGACACTTTTACCCCAAAAAAAAAATAAAAAAACAACAACTACAGCAGATACAATGAGCCAGTTTAAACATTAAGCTTTGCATTGGCATTGGTATTGCCATTGTTTTGGATCTGCCTGCATTTTGACAGTTCCACGTAAAATGCGCTTTTTGCGAATGCGAATGTGACTGTGACTGCGATTCTGGGTCTGGGCCTGGGGTCTGGGCTCTGTCTGACTCCCCCGTCCCAGGCGACGTGACATGCATCAATGCGGTTGAATTTATTTCCTGCTCGCAAGAGCGAGTGTGCGAAATTTTAATTTAAAATTTTGTATTTATTTATTTTTTTTTTTTGCCCACTACAGCACTTGCCGCTTAGACTTTTCACAGAGGCTGTGTGGCAAGTGATCGATCAGTTTTGGAGCCTTAGCTGTTGCCATTGCCTGCTGCTGTAGCTCCTTTGCATTTGGCTGGCATTTATGTTTAATTCATGTTATTCATACGTTGACTTTATTGATGCTTGATTTGATTCCCTGCTCGAAACTCAGAGCTCGGAGCTCGCAGCTTAGAGCTGAGGCCTCGCAGCCGTAATTCATTCATGGACCTGGGCTATAGAAAATCACTCAAAACGCGCATTCAAATCGGCATTACGTCTGCGTCTGACTCTTTGTTACTTTGACAGACAGTTTGTCTGCCTTTGCTTGACTGGCTGACTTACAGCAGCAACAGCAGCAACAATGTTGGGGCATGATTGGAACGAATGCAACGAGAGATGGCATGTTGCGCGCACCTGTGGTGAGCGTTGATTTTAAAATTCATTAGTCTGCATATGTCATTTGACTTTTTGATTGAAGGGCCGCGTGTAAAAGTTGTCAAAAGTAAATTTAGTTGTCATTATGAGTGGCTCTGGCTCGTTTGCTCGATCGTCGTTGTTACCACATTTAGTTGCCGTTATTAAGCCAAATTAAGCAACTTGGGCGACGCTCAAATCGTGCCACATTTACATACATTTAGACACATGCTGAGCAATGAATTTTTATAGCTTTTGACGCGCAAACAAACAGGGCGGGAGCGAGATAGACAGCTTTCAGTTAGCCAGCTCGTTCGCACAGATTTTTATGATACCCATGGCCATAAAACTACAACAAAAACATGCTGCGGTATTAGCAATAACGTAAAATTTAAATTTCAAAAGCAAACATGCCGAAATTTGGCAATAACTTTTGTCTCGCACTCATGTGTGTGTTTTTTTTCTCCACTCTTCTCCTTTTTTTTGCTTAAACAATTTTTGTACAAAAAATACAAGTTAAAATACAAATTTTTTGTTTTGGAAGCGCCGCGTCTGTTTGGTCTTGTGATTTCTCTTGTAGTTTTATTTTATTGTCATGGCGGCATGATGACGGTCGCAGCAGCAATAAGGACTGTCTTAGCCGCAAACAAATGTGTAATTATTGCCAAAGAGTTGTTGCATTTGAGCAGACATGGGTTCAGAGGTCATAGTTGATTCTTGTAGTTGAACGAAATTGTATTGCCATAACCAACTAAATCGCTAGTAGACCAACAGAACTTCTTTTACTTTGTTGCCCTTTTTAAATGTCCATTGATTTCAAATGCTGCCATAACTTTGGATCCATTTCAAACATAGCTCTTTATGTGCTATGGTTCGGCTATTAAATCGAATCGTTTTTCTCTCTCATTCAAGTGCAATTATATCGCGTAATTGTACACCTAATACACGGTAGATTGGTTCCAGAAACAAGCGTGTAAAAAAAAAACATTGATGATATGCAAAAATAGGTGATTGGTTCCTTATCTCTAAAGAAAAATACATATCTATCAATCTCTAATTCTGCAGTTGTCTTTGTAGAATTCAAACATTACTTAAAATTATATTAAGCGATATTATTCAGCCCTAAACATTGTTCATTAAGCTATAATATTGCAAAATTAATTTTCAGATACAAATTATTACCACTCCTTGGAGCATTATTGATGGATATTATTGATGGTTAGCTACATGATTATTTTAATTATTCACAGCCCATCTAAAATATGCTTTGAATAAATTTGAAAACATTCTCTGTTCATTACAAGTGAAAATATTACAAGTACAATTTTAACGAAAAGAAAACGTACTTCGGATCTAGGACAGTGAATACTGCAGCCGCTATTCTAGCTTACCTCGAGATAAATTAAATCGTAAATCACCTTAATAGAATGATCCTAGTTTTGTTGCCTACTTGTCATTTAAAATGACACAATATTTCGAGGATGATTCTGAAGTGACAGCGTCCTGTTCCTGAATAGAATTTTTATCTATTTCAACTTAATGTATCTCATCAAGGTTTAAGGTTCTCATGGATGCTATTGTCAAGCGTCGGCTTTCAATTAAAAAAGGAATAATCAGACAAGAGTTCTGAGGTAACAAGCACAAAAAAAAAATTACAGTCGAATTGAGAACCTTCTTTTTTGAAGTCGGTTAAAAAACATCGTTTTTCAGCGGACAATTTTGAAGTTATGGATAGAAAAACTGTTCTTTTCCATCACATTTTCTTATGTTATGGAATTCACGTTCAATTTGCAGATAATTGTAAGGTTTCTGCAACCACTTGAAAAACTTAACGAACACTCTTTGCTCTGCCTCCACCTCCTATTTAACATTTTGTAAAACAAAGTATCTGCTTTTGATGACTTTGCTTGCGTCTTTTATCAACGAAAATTTTCCCATGCACACACACATACTGGAACCCCTTCGAAATGATGCCAATGTGTCACGCACAGTGGCGAAGCCAAAGGGCGAGTGAAGTTGGATTTCCATGCGGGCCCATTCAAATGGCCAGGCAGGCATCAAAGTCTATTTAGCAACCAATTTCATTTTGCGAACAAGCCAAGCAATGCAATTGCCTAGCCTGTTAGACATTGTCCCTGCTACCAGGTGTTATTGCTGCTGTTGTTGTTGTTGTTGTGGCA